ATGATTCTCAAATTTACCGGTTAAAAAAAAAGTATAATTGAAACGATGTCGCTATGTTTGAATAATAAATAAGGCATTTCTCCAGTTACAATGTCGCGTTTCTTCCTTCGGAAAGTTTTTAGATGTATGTAATTTGACACGTACAAGTGTGTTTTCTTAAACATCACATTTTGAAAATAGTAACAATATTTCGCAACTAAATAACACAAAAACGTAACTGTTATTATGGACATTTTGAAAAGGAAAGCATTCAACTTGTATGAAATTTAGAAAAAAAGGAAAAAATATTTTCATCTAAGTGGAGGAGTTGTTCTTGTTAGAACAAAAAATAACATCTACACACGTCGACAAAACCTCTAGCCAATTAGTCTTAAGCACGTTCGGCTAGAAAAAATACAACTTTTTACTGGGAGAGATGTATTGGGGTGGGTGGTGTAGAGTGACATCCACCCATCAGTTCTAATATCAGAAGGAAGGAAGTATTCGGCTGCAGGCATAGAAGGCTATCTTTGACACTAGAAAACACATACACATACACTGTGTACAACTAATGGAAATTTGCCGCTTTAAGTTCCTTGTTAAACATAAATGTTATTTAATTCAAACTATATGACTTACATTGTTTAGTCTTTTATTATTTTCCACACTATACACATTCAAAAACAGTTCATTATAAGCTTTCTAGCCAACAGTCTTCCTTAACAACAGTTCACACAACTTTTATTTCCATCACTCGACATTCGGGTAAATAGAACACCAACACGGGTTTAACACAACTCACGCTCAGTATCATAGGGATCTAAAGTATTTTTAGCTTAAAGTTAAAGGCAGCAATGGTGACAAACTGATAGTAACACATCATACAGACCGAGCAAGCTGGGTCGGGTAGCTTGAATGATTGCCGTGATGACAAAGTTTTTAAGACATGTAGCATTGAGTTGCTTGTGGTATTTGAACTGGGTTCCCAGAAAGAACCGCAACGGAAAAAAGCGCAACGGAAAAAAGCGCAAATCAAAAAGCGCAACGGAAATAAGCGCACACGGAAAAAAGCGCAAAGAGAAAAAAGCGCACACAGAAAAAAGCGCAAAGAGAAAAAAGCGCAAACGGAAAAAAGCGCAAAGAGAAAAAAGCGCACACAGAAAAAAGCGCAAACAGAAAAAAGCGCAAACGGAAAAAAGCACAAAGAGAAAAAAGCGCACACGGAAAAAAGCGCAAAGAGAAAAAAGCGCAAACAGAAAAAAGCGCAAAGAGAAAAAAGCGCACACAGAAAAAAGCGCAAACAGAAAAAAGCGCAAACGGAAAAAAGCGCAAAGAGAAAAAAGCGCAAACGGAAAAAAGCGCAAACAGAAAAAAGCGCACACGGAAAAAAGCGCAAACGGAAAAAAGCGCAAACGGAAAAAAGCGCAAACAGAAAAAAGCGCAAACGGAAAAAAGCGCAAACAGAAAAAAGCGCACACAGAAAAAAGCGCAAACAGAAAAAAGCGCAAACGGAAAAAAGCGCAAACAGAAAAAAGCGCACACAGAAAAAAAGCGCAAACGGAAAAAAGAGCAAACAGAAACAGAAAAATGCGCAACCAAAAAAAACACAAAGAAAAATGTGCAAAAGAGAAATTTAGCACAAAGACCATATGGACTAGATGACACATTTATACATGACTGTTAGGGCTGCTGTGAGAGTGTCGTGTTTGATCACGTGATCTACTACCATTTAAAGCGTACCACTACCATCTGCATTCCCATCACCACGATACAGGCGATAATCACTTTACACAATGCCTATTATTTTCTTGGTCAATAATTATTCAACTACTATTCTCGTATAAACATAAAACTATCGACATTACACGAAGTATCTTTCACATTCTCCCTAGTCCGAACTACCTAGCTTGCATACTATAACAACCCGTTCCTATGGCAAAACTTCACTCTCTTTCATCCGCGTCATCAAACATGCATTCGTCATATCTCTCGTAACAACATTCATTCGCACCAAAATAACAATTTTGTATTTAATATTTTTTCACATCATGACGCACCTACCTACCTACCTACTACCCACCTACCCACCTACCTACCTACCTACCTAACTACCCACCTACCCACTTACCCACTTACCCACCTACCCACCTACCCGCCTACATACTTACCAAACTACCCACCAAAAAAGTATCGGCGAAGTTCGTAAGTTTCGTAAACTGTACTAGACATCTTTTTTTTAAATGAAAATTCATTGACATAGTAGTTGAATAATTATTGACCAAGAAAATAATAGGCATTGTGTAAAGTGATTATCGCCTGTATCGTGGTGATGGGAATGCAGATGGTAGTGGTACGCTTTAAATGGTAGTAGATCACGTGATCAAACACGACACTCTCACAGCAGCCCCAACAGTCATGTATAAATGTGTCATCTAGTTCATATGGTCTTTGTGCTAAATTTCTCTTTTGCACATTTTTCTTTGTGTTTTTTCTGGTTGCGCATTTTTCTGTTTCTGTTTGCGCTTTTTTCCGTTTGCGCTTTTTTCTGTGTGCGCTTTTTTCTGTTTGCGCTTTTTTCCGTTTGCGCTTTTTTCTGTTTGCGCTTTTTTCTGTGTGCGCTTTTTTCTGTTTGCGCTTTTTTCCGTTTGCGCTTTTTTTCTGTTTGCGCTTTTTTCCGTTTGCGCTTTTTTCCGTTTGCGCTTTTTTCCGTGTGCGCTTTTTTCTCTTTGCGCTTTTTTCCGTTTGCGCTTTTTTCTCTTTGCGCTTTTTTCCGTTTGCGCTTTTTTCTGTTTGCGCTTTTTTCTGTGTGCGCTTTTTTCTCTTTGCGCTTTTTTCTGTTTGCGCTTTTTTCTCTTTGCGCTTTTTTCCGTGTGCGCTTTTTTCTCTTTGCGCTTTTTTCCGTTTGCGTTTTTTTCTGTTTGCGCTTTTTTCTGTGTGCGCTTTTTTCTCTTTGCGCTTTTTTCCGTTTGCGCTTTTTTCTCTTTGCGCTTTTTTCTGTGTGCGCTTTTTTCTCTTTGCGCTTTTTTCCGTGTGCGCTTATTTCAGTTGCGCTTTTTGATTTGCGCTTTTTTTCCGTTGCGCTTTTTTCCGTTGCGGTTCTTTCCGGCCACCTTTGAACTGTCTAGGTAAGGTAGCCATCAAACTCAGGTAGCCATGTGCTACTTGTCAAACTAGCAGCTTCGTTAACCCTTTAGCTCTGCGGTTATCTAGTGCAGACAGGATAAACCTCACCTGGTTTTATGTAAGCTGTTTTAAAAGGAACTTCCACTGAGTTTATCTTTGTGAAGCCTCGTCATAATGGTATGCAGGAATAATTAATTATAATTATAATTAATTATAATTGTTTAAGATAATTGATTAATCAAATTTAAATGCAAAATATGAAGAAAAAATAATCTTATATTTGTTTGAATTTATTTAAAGAAATAATAATAATAACATTTCTTGTTGTTTTACAAAATAATTAGTAAGATTATACACCAGTGACATTGTGCTACCTAATCTCATTAGTAAGATTTTACACCAGTGACATTGTGCTACCTAATCTCATTAGTAAGATTATACACCAGTGACATTGCGCTACCTAATCTCATTAGTAAGATTTAACACCAGTGACATTGTGCTACCTAATCTCATTAGTAAGATTTTACACCAATGACAATGTGCTACCTAATCTCATTAGTAAGATTTTACACCAATGACAATGTGCTACCTAATCTCATTAGTAAGATTATACACCAGTGACATTGCGCTACCTAATCTCATTAGTAAGATTTAACACCAGTGACATTGTGCTACCTAATCTCATTAGTAAGATTTTACACCAATGACATTGTGTTACCTAATCTCATTAGTAAGATTTTACACCAATGACATTGTGCTACCTAATCTCATTAGTAAGATTTAACACCAGTGACATTGTGCTACCTAATCTCATTAGTAAGATTTTACACCAATGACATTGTGTTACCTAATCTCATTAGTAAGATTTTACACCAATGACAATGTGCTACCTAATCTCATTAGTAAGATTTTACACCAATGACATTGTGTTACCTAATCTCATTAGTTAGATTTTACACCAATGACATTGTGTTACCTAATCTCATTAGTAAGATTTTACACCAATGACAATGTGCTACCTAATCTCATTAGTAAGATTTTACACCAATGACATTGTGCTACCTAATCTCATTAGTAAGATTTTACACCAATGACATTGCGCTACTTAATCTCATTAGTAAGATTTTACACCAATGACATTGTGCTACTTAATCTCATATCCCTTGTTAAAATTCCTACCTTTGTTATCTAGACAAACTACTATGTCATAGAGAATGTTGCTAATTCAAAGGGCTAACACAACTTTGCAATGATGGTGTAAAAAATTATACTGTATGGTATGGAATGTTTTGAATGAACTGTGTGTCACATAAAATCCGCCCCAAGGGAAACGAATTTATGAGCGAAAAACAAACATCCTTGCTCCCCCTACTATTTAATTCACTTGCTGTCGTGACCAACTGCTATTTAGATCTATATCAGGTGAACAATGTGTCATCAAGACAGTTTCCTGGACGTTACCATGCCGGATAAAAACGTGAAGATTAGATGAACTTAATCCGTGTGTTCCTTGTTTCATGAACATGAGGACAATAGATATCAAATGTATCGTTTTTACAGTAAATGTCAACTGCCATTCATTATTCTGGATTTACTCGCATCGAGATGTTGGACTATTTTTAAAACCATATAATTAATTGCTCTAAATATTTTGTTTGTGTTCAAGTTTAGCTGCTGTACATCCCTGCATGAACCAACATCATGAGTGTTATCATTACGTAACGACTTATGATTATCTACCCTTCCGGCTCTTACGTAAGATAACGAACTCCATTTTCATCGAAAGTTGCACCGCAATAATTATGGATACAAACCCAATTTAAATTACACTTAATCATAGAACACAAGACACACACATTTTTGATCGTCTAAACAAAGAAATAAATACAAACCCGGGCGAACTTATAGATACTCACATTTATTATTTATTTTAATACTCACTGATGAACATTCACAAAAATAGAAACAAATAGTATTAAAACCAAACAATTTAATTCGCTTAATAATTGGAGACCAAGGTCTTACTGCCGATTTTGTTATATTGCAGTATACATTGCAGACGCAAAGACCCAATTGCCTTTTTAAAGAAAAAGTATCGCATAACAATCGGTCACCTTAGTAAAGGCAGATAACTCCATAAAAAGCAAATGTTAAAGAAATTTTTATAATTTCACAAGATTAGGAATTTAAACTGATATAATACATACAATTCTAAAACTTACAAAAAATATGAAAATTATAATTTATGAATTATGTTATGATATCAAATTATCATATTAACATAGAATGCTTATTTAAATTACATCACCTTTAATTTTGTTTATTGTGCAAATTATTTTAATAAGGTAGTAACGAATTGTTAGGGGATGTTTTCTCGAGCAAACTTTGTGCAGTGGAATTTTAACAATCGCTGAAATAGATTTGGAATCCGAATGTGATATTGTTTTAAAGCACTTTTTGTTAAAGAACTGGCACCTTTTTCAAGATCGGCCTTTGTGGGGGGCCGTCGGAGGCGCCGTAGGAGTAGGAGCGGGGTCGGATGCTGGTCAGAAAAACGCTGGTACTCAAAGACGAGCCCTTCTCCTCGTCGGCCCAGCGAACGTGGTTGTGCTCCAGGATGCTGGAGCCGTCGGTGGAGCTGGGGGTGCGGGGCAGGAGTCTCCGGGGACGGGTCGTGTGAGACTCGCTGGCAGACCGCTGTCTCAAGACTGGGCTGAAGCTGTCGTCCATGTTGTCCAGCACACCTGAGCTGAGGGAGTCAAGGTCGTTGGACTTCACGTGCATTGGACAGTCCGGTGAGTGAATGTCTTTCGACGCTTTATGGAAAGATCCTTGTGAGTTTTGTTTAGAAAATACGGGCGATTTTGATGAATTCATGTAGATGTCTCTCTGCTTGGTCGAATTAAGGCTTGGGGATATTGATTTGTGGTGACCGACTGGAGATAGGATCGATGATCGCATCATTGATCCGGATTTCAAGTAGCTGGGCCTGGCCGAGAGCTTGCCGTTTGACCAGCTGTGGCTCCGCTGTCGCATGGCCTCGTGTGAGCTGAAGATGGACCCCGAGTCGAGGCTCGATGTCCTACCCGAGGGTGAGTTGTTCCGCCTGGTCAGCAGCCGGTGGGGCGACACGTCACAGTTACTGGTGGCGCGAGCACGGCCCGAGCCGAACACGCGGGACAGCTTGATGTGGCCGGAGCTGTCCACGCTGGGAGACAGCCGGCTGCTCGTTGAGCTGTGGTCAAGCGGGGAGAGAGACATGCGCTTGTCCGTGCCGGTTTTAGAGTTACCGTTCGCAATGTGTTTATCCGTGGAGTTGAGTTTATCGGTTAATTGATTGCACGTGCAGACGAGGGAGGGTAACGCGCTGATGTCACAGAAATTATCGTCCTGTGAGCGGTTTTTCAGCAGCCGTCCTTTACGGCCGTTTTTTATCGGATCAGCCGGACAGCCGTCTGCGACGCTATGCCAGTCTCGGCGGTCATAGAAATTACTGGAACAACTGGTGCCCATGTTATCTAGTTCTGGTAACTTAACAACGTCTTCCGCCTCCCTGGATTTGATTTTGTAGCTTGAACGATCTAGCGGCAGATGAGACAGCAATACATCTTGTGCCGACTCGTCTAACGCCGTGTCTCTAATTGTGAATAATCTCCTTCCAAACTGGCAGGTACAGACGGTGCCACGTGAGTTGTTGTTGCTGTCGTGCACACGTTTTATTCCAGGCTCATTATCCTCATGACATGTCCGGCCCTCGCCATTTTGAGACTCTTGACTCGCGTCACATCCGGTGGAGACTTCACATGTCGTGTCGGTGTGGTGCTCGGTGTAAATCTCATCAAGGACTTTATGGAACTCGCTAGAACCGTCTGGGCAGGCTTTCAGGCGATTGGTGCGCTGTTGGCAGTTGGTGGAGCAGCAGTTCATGGCATGAGCGATGACGTAATGGCCAGATTCGCTAAGACATGACTTCTACGGACCAACTTGAGTCACAGCCTGTAAAGAAAATACACTCACATTAACCATATGTCGCATATATGTTTATAATATATATATATATATATATATATATATATATATATATATATATATATATATATATATTAACCATATATCCATACATTAACCATATGTCGCATATATGTTTATAATATATATATATATATATATATATATATATATATATATATATATATATATATATATATATATATATATATATATATATATATATATATATGTAGATATGTATGTGTGTGTGTGTGAATGTTTATGTGTGCGCGTGTGTTTATATAAACAAAACCACGAACATTCTAGAAACCGTTAAGCAACTTTTGATTGCATTAAATAAACACATTTAAAAATGCGATTTTGAAGCTACATTCCCTAGTTATCTGTCTTCCTCAGAAGTCTATCACAAGCTTTTCTTTCTTACGTGGATGCAGTTTTGTGTTGACGAGGATTTACTTTGATCTTGTCAACGTAATGAGTTCTGCATCTATTCATCACACAGCTCGTTCAATGCGAACGCTTTGATCTATCTTTAATGCCACGTCGATTGTGGCGTTGTTCCGACCCCAAGAAAACATGTCTTGTGTATTTGGCTGCTTCAGTCTGGCTCACTGCATTTAATTCTCTATACTCCACAAGACGATTGTCAAGGTGTATTGCAGATAGTGGCGAATGGGTTTTTTCCTATTGACCTATTATTTACATTGCTTTTGTGGAGAGTTTCTTCATATCTCAAATGTCAGCTGCTTGTCTAAATAGCCAAACGTCGTTGTTTGTAGAAAAAATAATCATATCCCTTTATTATATATTTTCTCTATTGACAGCCAATGTCAATCATCACAATTATAGTGCATGAACCCATTTTATAAAATATGCGGTTTCCTCTCTTACCAATGTAAGCTTTCAAAACTTATTTTAATGACTTTTGAGCCGTTGAAGCGAATTTGATTATGGTTAGTTTTTGTTGAAATGTTGGCAGCAAAAAACATTGATAACAGAATAAGGCTGTGGTCGTCATTTACCTTAATGGCTAAAATAAAATTATTGATGCATTATCATACATGGAATGAGCATAGCTAAGACTCCAAACAGAAACTTATGTTTCAAATTTCTTATTAGAGTGAGATAAGTCTTTAAAATGTGTTATTTACGTTTCGTATACAAAATGGATTATTTATAAAATCTAGAGTTAAAATTTATGTTTACTGTGATCAATGTTTGGCTAAAAGAAGTCGAAACATTTCAGACAACTCTATTACCTTCTAGGTTTTACTTGCTGTAAGTTGTCTCTACTTTGTGTACTGAGAGACCAATTGGTAACTTCCGTGTTTCGCTTGTTTAGTATTTTCACTGAGTGGTAGAAATTGTCAGGCAGACGGATTTAGCTTTACAACATCTGTTTTCTGCTTGTGATTTAGTGTATCATCTTATTGATTTTATACAGCGTTTTAGTTCACTGATGCCATCAAACGTCATTCTGTTCTGGAATAAAATGAAATTTAATTCAATTAATATGGCAATAATAGAAATGTTCTAGAAATAATTTCGGCAGTTCACAAACATTCAACTTAAAAAATAATTACACAACAATGTATTCAAAAGAATACAAGCTTTTCTTAACCTCTTACATACGAGAACTACTCCTACATCCAGGGAAATCTTTAAAATACATTTTTACACCAAGTGTATACAGGATATTCAATAAAGCAGTCACAACTTCAAAAGTTATTCAATATATCGCCGATTATCTTATATTTTCGCGTGCTTTCATGTGTCCCATTGACACACCAATTCTGACTGCAGTGTCTTAAAAGATATAGCTCTGTCTGAATCGATTGTTGTTATTAATTAACGGGAGGGGAGTTAAGGTAATGTTTGCTGAAAGAGATTTTAATTGAGCACTTAAGGATGTGCCGAGACCACTTAATGAAGCTAATATCGTTGTTGATTTATCAACTTGATTCTCCACAAATTAAATCGTTAAGCAACAACACACACAACAGTGCACAGTGTAGCACAAAACACACCAACGCCCACACCAACACAGATCAGCAGCTACACACGCACACATATCAACGCCTACACTAACACAGATCAACAGTAACACGCACACAAATCAACGCCTACACCAAACATACTATTTGAACCTTCCACGTAGGCACAACAGAACCGTTTTTATAGATTGCCAAAAATCTCAAGCAAGAGATCTCAAGTTTCTTCCCTGGCTCATTGACGTCACCCACGTCTGTAATTTGAAATCGGTCATTTCAACACAAGCTGTTCGCCTACGATTATGTTTTCAACACGAAATGTACTACTCACCAAGTGCAATTTATCAGACAAGAATGTTTTCCGTGGTTTAAGATTCTACGTAGAAAAATATGTAATTTTTGTAAGCTTTCCCACTTAGTGTTGTATTTCAGCTATATATTTTCCATTTTAAAAGTTCGTTTTTTTCTGTTTACTTAGTATATTTCTTCGAGTTTTTTTAAAACTTACTTTCTCAATACATTTTCCACGCAAAATATTTTTATTACAATTTTATTTTCTAATAGAATTGTTTGGCTCAGGTTCAGTCTGTATCTAAGATAATATTTAATAATTGATTTAGAAAGAAACGTATAATCATTTATAAACAGTGCACTAAAATTATTCGACATTAATTTAAAAATCATGCTGAAGCTAAACAAGTATGATAAAATTAATCGTAATAGACGTTTTAAATTAACATATAGAAATGGTAATACCGACGTAAAAAAATTTGCTGTCGTTGAATTAACGTTGAACAAGAATGGACTTAAATTTTCCTATACGTTCTGTTTAAGGAAGTTTACATACACATTGAGATTTAAATTAAATGCATAATAAACAAAATGTCCATAATTTGGTATAGCTTTTTTTCTCAGAATATCACATACTCACACAATGAAAAGCCGCGCATAAAAAAATTCGTAGACGCGAAGCATCACAAAAATTCATAAACATATCGATTTTGTACGCAGGATTTGAGGCCGGTCTATCCTGGCAAATTAATTGTTTGTGAGACGTGATGCCTAATCATCCGTACCCAATCAGCGGGGAAACCCCACGTTAAAGGACTCCCTCCTGAATTGGGGGCAACAAAGTCAATACAGCGAGCATGCGCACTGAGGTCTCAGCCAACGACTTCCGGTTATCAGAGTAATATAAAGAAAACGTTGCGTCGTGTGGCATTGATCTGGTGTAGGAAGACATGACGACGAATTGCCCGAGATCTGGGCCACCATATATCAGCGTGTGATAAGAACAGACTGACGCTGTTGTTGACAGTGGCGTGGGCAGGGGGGGGGGGGGGGTCATAACCCCCCATAGACCCCTCGGTATATAGAAAAAGTATGAGGGGGGGGGGTGCAAATCGAAAGTTTGAGGGGTGGGTGCAAATCGAAAGTTTGTCCCCGGGTAAAAATTGGAACCCCCCCCCCCTTGAGACGATCCTGGCTACGCCACTGGTTGTTGATGCTGGCAAAGGCGGGGAATGTTATTCTAACGGGTGATGAACGGGTTCATTCACTTCAAAACATCTTCAGTGGCATGGTGAAAACTAGTCAACAATTTGACACAATTAAATTTTAAAATTTGTTTTTAAAAATTAAAAAAATTAAAACTGAACAAAATGTTGGATTGGATAAAGCGAATATGATTTTGTAGTGCTACACATTATGCACTTAATTTAACATCAAAGCCATCAGCAGGTAGGTTAAGCGATACACTTACATCTACAGCTGTATTCTGTTTCCGTCCAGCCAGGGGCCATAGTTTATAATAAGGACGCATGACCTCATGGAGTTTCTATCAGATACAGCCCGCCACTCTAACAGGATTTCTCCGTCTAGACACTTGTTAAAGACATTTATCCGTCTTCATATGACCCGTGCTAAGTGTGACCGTTCTGGTCAGTGTTTCTTCCAGACTTTTTTCTCCGGGGGGGGGGGGGGGCGGTAGACTTTCTTCTAGGGTGCAGACACTGTTAAAAGTATATATTTTCTATCTAAATTATATAAATTTCATTTCGTTCGGGGGGGGGGGGGGGGGCGGTAGAATTTTTCCGGGGGCTTTGCCCCCCCCCCCCCCCCCCCCGAAGAGATGCCTAGGAGAAACTCTGGTTCTGGTGAGACACAGGTGGTTGTTGGTGCTATAGTAACATGATAAATGTCGGCCTGGTACTTAAGTCATGACTCTCGTTATATGATAAATGTCGGTCTGGTACTTAAGTCATGACTCTCGTTATATGATAAATGTCAGTCTGGTACTTAAGTCATGACTCTCGTTATATGATAAATGTCGGCCTGGTACTTAAGTCATGACTCTCGTTATATGATAAATGTCGGCCTGGTACTTAAGTCATGACTCTCGTTATATGATAAATGTCGGCCTGGTACTTAAGTCATGACTCTCGTTATATGATAAATGTCGGCCTGGTACTTAAGTCATGACTCTCGTTATATGATAAATGTCGGTCTGGTACTTAAGTCATGACTCTCGTTATATGATAAATGTCAGTCTGGTACATAAGTCATGACTCTCGTTACATGATCAACCAAATATCAGGTCTTAATTCTCGCCATACGAATAGCATAATTTTATTCACAATCAGTGTCGACGTCAGGTTATTTAGCGCCCTAGGCAAAACTTATTAAAACGCCCCCTTTCAAACACATTAATTACTAAAACATATGTATAAGAAAACAATTAATTGAAAGTGACATATTAATTTAATATCAATTGCATAAACGTTATAAATCAAATTTTACTTGCCTCTCAAAAGTTTGTACTAATTCCCTCAACTCCAGTTTGCACGCCTAATCACATTTTATTGACATTGTCCACGAGTCTACTTTGTACTTTACGACCTAGCGCCCCCCCCCCCCTCACTCCCTTAGAAAATTTTAAGTGTCCCCCCCCCCCACTCCGGGGGGAAAAAGTCTGTAAAAAACACTGAAAAAAAGTTGTTGTAGTGATGGGCTCTCTGCAGTCCTCCTAAGGTGAGTTCCAAAACGGAACTTATCTGTTTTAAGCTTGACTGTCTTTAGTTATAATTATAAGTGTGATTATGTCACGATTTATTTTTATTTTTTTTTTAAAAAAAAAGGTTCCAGCCTAACATTGTTATATATGAATCCTTTCGGAGATGGTTAAAAATATGAAAAGACAATTAATTAGATGTTTAATTTACGACTGTGTCTACTAACATTAAGTATTGCTATCTTAGTAAGCTAGAGATGTATTTGTTTTTCAACTTGGTAATGCTAAAAAAACCTAACAAACTATTTTGTTTAGAACTTCTGCTCTATATAATTGTTACAATAGCAAATAATAACTTTAAGTTGTATTTATAGGTAAGGGGTGAGCCTAAGATGCAGGAATTTGATATGAATGTAAAGTTACGCAAAGAATTATCTCCCATTTGAAAATCAAAATACCAAAATTTTATTCAAGGGAAATAACTTTCACAAGAATGGCTAAATTAACCAAGTGTAACTAAGACATGCTAAAAAACACAATTAAAAGCTCTAAATTTCTTTACGTAATAATTATAAAATATCTTTTATATTTGCTATGTAAATTTGTAAAAACAATATATGTTACTTTCTGAATACTTAACTGTAGGTTTTGTTTGAAAATCTAAAAACGGTAGCTTAATTATAACATACTTATATTGAATATTGATGACATACTCTCAACCCTATTTCATTCATGTTAGATTTAAACAAAATTTTGGATTCCCTAATAAAGGGACGTTTTTCACAACGTCAAACACGGGTAACTGTTTTAGACATTGCTACAATTATTGATTAAAATATATAAAAATTTATTATTTGAATAAAAACGTGTACAGTTAGTTATAAATTCCATCCTATTTAATATTACATATTAATACTTAAAGAGTGGTAATATAGACTTCACTGGACCTACTACAAAACTTTAACAGTCAATATAATTGGATACCTTAATACCACAAAAATCAATCGCCCGAACTCCAGAACTACGACACTTCATCGCCTGTATTCTCATTTCTCTATTACCTATCAGATTCCACTAGATCTTCAACTACAAACAGCCGAATAAAAAATTATGACACTTTAACACTTCGATACTTTAAACCTACGAAACCATATTAGCAACAGCCTTCCGCCGTTACTCTCAAATCTAAACTATTCATCAAAATTTACCAAACAGTACAATACTTTGAACACCCCGATACACTAGGACAGATTTATAATTCAAAGTCAGATAAAACGAGACTTACAAGCCCTATTAAAATTAGATAACCGTTTGAAATTTTCGAAATTGAAATTACGCACTTATTTAATCGTTCTCTACATCACTTGTATGACACCAAATTAAAATAAACCCGGACTGATCTCCCCTAAACGATCTCGAATATTCTAATATAAAACACTACGGTGGATGGCAACTCGGGATACAGAAAATATTTTAAATTTATTTTTAATTACTTAAACTTTAAAAAATAGAATAGAATCTCTTAGAAAAAAGAATTGCACAACAAGTGAACGCCAAATAAAATGTGTATAATAGTGCGGAATATTATTAGCAGTTTATGACTTAACACGCGTTTTTTGAGAAATCGGAAATAGCCTAAATCACTACTTCCGGTCAACGGAAGTTACTCAAAATTTTATAGAAGGCAGAGAATTAGATCTTTTATTCATATGTGAAATTTCATTTATCTATCTGAAATAGTAATCAATAAATTTAGGCTTATGTAGACCTAATTTTGGGGAGGAGTGCAAAATTGATAGTTCGTCATGGGTGCCGAAATAAATCGCTACTCGTTTATAAAAGTTGTTAATTATTACATACTTTTTGATAATAGCGATTAAACGTTTTGCGCCCCCCCCCCTAGAGATGACACCCTAGGCGACCGACTAGTTCGCCTTAAAGGTAGCGTCGGCCCTGGTCACAATTCTCAGCAAATGAACATCGCCATGTGAGTAACTAATCAAGCTACACGAACAAAGAATGCTGGTCACAATACTAGCTCCCCCATCCCCATAAGTAGAAGTACTGCGATATTTCAAGCTTAACTCCTCCAGTGAATCAGATTTTCTTCCAGACATCTCTTTTTTACCGCCCCCCCCCCCCCCCCCCCCCCGAACGAAATGAAATTTATATAATTTATATAGAAAATATATGCTTTTAACAGTGTCCGCCCCCCCCCCCCCCGAAGAAAGTCTACCGCCCCCCCCCCCACCCGAAAATTTCAAGTGCCCCCCCCCCGGAGAAAAAAGTCTGGAAGAAACACTGCCAGTGATACGGTATTGCAGGCGTCCACATCCGTTGCTCAGTAAAGCGGATTTCTTACCGTTGCTCAATAAAGCATTGAGCGGGTGTCTTTAAATAGTTCCTACACCAATTTTAGAAATTAGAAACAAAATCGTCAAAGCTGAAAGCGAGCTTAAGTTTATTTTTAGAAAACTTTTTCAATAAGTGAAATGGCTTATTTAACATTAAGCAAGTATGAATACGCATTTAAAGAATCACAAAATCGATGCATAGTGCTATGTATTGTGTAAGAGATACAAGAATTGACAAACTGTGTTCGTATTTTAAGTAGAACCTTTTTCTATTAAACACGTATACACTTTCAAATCATGTGCTTATTGTTGTGATCATTTCTTCCTCAATCACACACACACACACACACACACACACACACACACACACACACACATACACACACTGTCTCTCTCACAGACACCCATCCAGCCGTACATACACACACACACACTGTCTCTCCTACACACACAAACTCACTCACACATACAAATCCACACCCTCAGCGGTACTGTAGAACATGTTTTCTTCCAGACATTCCCATTAGCTGCCTGCCTCCCACTATCAATAACAATGAAAACGTCCACAGGCCAGGCAGATGGCCATTTTATTTCTAAGAGCTGACGCCCAATTCCCCAGCCGTACATAGGTTAGCACTCCGTGCCACTCGCGGGCCATATGGCCGTCCTTGTAATTTGCTGGCCACTTCCTGTTACCATGACTTTATGTTGCTAATTTTAGATGTACTGTTCTTAAACATAAATGTACTTTTTTATATAAATAACCAACTGCAGCGTAAATCATATTTATAGGAGCTATTTATTTTATTTTAACTCATTCGTTTTCTAAAATTAGGTAATATAAATAATCCAGGAAATGTTTTTTTTTTCTAAGATCTTCACCAATTTTACCGTACGTGTTTTTATATGAGTAGAATTTAGTTTCTACTTAGATTAATAAACTCCTGTCAAAGTAATCGATTCTGAAGAAACATATTTTGACTATATCTAACGATGAAAGGAATATGTAGCGTGTAGCCAGAGAATGTATTGAGTCTTAATAAGAAAGTGGTAGCCAGATGCTTAATGCTATTTTTTCCACAAATAGTTTCTTACAGATTTTACTTAAATAATGAGGGATAACAAGTATTCTCACTGTTTTTACATCAAGCTACGTTTTGAAAATCGATATGGATTTAGAGAAGTTGAAAGTAGATTAAATACATTTTATACACTTGCTTATAATTGCAAAATAACAAAATTACAAGAAGACAGATGAAAAAAATAGATCCGAGGTCGAAGATTAACAGAACATTTAAATGTAAAACCAAAAAAAAAAATCATCCTTGAAAATGTTTTTTCTTTGCCAATCCAAAAAAAAAAAATAGTTTTTAACATTTTTTCCCCAAATGGCAATTCAAAAATTGCATTTTTAATCTGACAAAGTGTGTGGTTGTGGGGCTGATCTGACAAAGTGTGTGGTTGTGGGGATGCATGTGACACCCGAATCTGTGTGGGTGAGCCTTAAATGCGTG